CAGAGGAAAAGGAAGTGACAGAGGACACAGGAAGTGACAGAGGACACAGGACGTGACAGAGGAMRCAGGACGTGACAGAGGAAGCAGGAAGTGACAGAGGAAGCAGGAAGTGACAGAGGACACAGGAAGTGACAGAGGAAACAGGATGTGACAGAAGACACAGGAAGTGACAGAGGACACAGGACGTGGCAGAGGAAGCGGGAAGTGACAGAGGACACAGGAAGTGACAGAGGAAACAGGAAGTGTCAGAGGAAACAGGAAGTGTCAGAGGAAACAGGAAGTGTCAGAGGAAACAGGAAGCGAGCAGAGCAATAGGAACTTCAAAATAAAGCATCAATTGTTAACAAAAGTTTATATTTTATCTTCTTGAGCACTGGAAGCCCTCTGAGACCCTCAGGAAGTGTTGGTACCTGTACAGGCTCTCCAGGTGTGACTCTGGACCACAGAGAGCAGAATCCAGGCGAGCAGCAGAGGGCGACACGCCAACATCACGTCTCAGAGATCTTTTCTCCTCCCCTAAGCATCACGGAGCGTCGTCCTTCTTATGAGGTCCAGGTGAGATGAAGATAATCCTCCTCTTCCTCAACAACTGTCTGGAATCAAGAACAAACCTGATAAATTCAATCTGACTCCAACTATTTCCTTCTTTCTTCCACACAWATCACAGGTACTGGATAGATCCTAAAAACCCATCTGGACCAGTGTGGTTCTGTCAGGTGGTCCTGGCGGTCTGGTTTCAGGTGAACTATCTGGACTTCAACATAAAAAAATAACAAGAAAAACCTCACCTCTGGTTCTGGATCAGTCTGAACCCAGCAGGAAGAGCTGCAGATAAAAAGTTCTGGATGGATCTGAAGGTCCAGTTCCTAACATCCTAAAAGCCAGAAACAGGACTGAACTCAAACAGAACCATCTGGGTTTACAGTTTACTTCTGATTGTTGTGATTCTTCCTCAGCTGCTGAGCTCCACCTGCCTCCTCTTCCTCTCTCCAGGTGTCTGCAGCTGATCTCAGGTGAGTCCACCTGAGCAGAGACTCACCTGCAGGGAGCTGGGTTCACACGCCCCACATTTAAATATAAAAGACAGGGAGGAGCACAGGTTTGTGAGGGGAGGCGGAGCCTCTTCTTTACCTGTTAAACACCTGGGACAGGTAGGTCAGGCTGACTCCGGATCAGGGCTCCGAAGAAACAAACAGAGAAATAATAATAACCAACAGGTGAGGAGGAACAACAGCTGTGTGCAGACAGGAAGAAAACAAAATAAACGAGATTTTCAGAATAAAAGGAAATGAGAAATAAATCTACAGCGTCTGAGAAGAACAGAATGTTTTACGACAGGTTCAGTTTTTAATGAAGTTAAACAAGAAACAAAAATGGAGTTTCTTTCAGGATATTTTGTTCTGAATGTCACAAAGTTTAATTTTAAAAACCATTTAATTGTTAAAGTCAATCATTGTATTTGTTGAGTTCCAGAGATCAGCTCACTTTAAACACATCAGTTTAATATAAAAACCTTTACCTCAGCCTCTAACAGAACTCAGCTTTAGTTCATCAAAACGCTGCAGTTCTATAAAGAACACGTGTGAACATGTTAGGTTAAGGGTTAACTCTAAGCTAACATGTTCACACATGTAGTGCAGAGGAACACACGTGTTCTCTGATGTTCCATCACAGGCAGCTGAGATCTGAGGCCTTTAAACCTCCCAATAATCCCAGTTTAAACATGAGGCTGGATCCAGATCAGCAGAGAGACACGTCTGAGCCCACAGACCTCCAGAGTCCTCCAGAGACCTCCAGAGTCCTGTGACCTGAGCCCAGAGACTACCAGAGTCCTGTGACCTCAACCCTGAGACTTCCAGAGCAGGGTTGCCAGATTGGACTGACAGTTTCCAGCCCAAACACAACATAAAACCCGTCCAACCACAAAAAACACAGCCCAAATCTCAACCTCCGTTGACATAGACAGACGTAGAACTACATATCCACAGGGTTAGACAATGAAAGTGAAACACCTGTCATTTACTGTGGGAGGTTTCATGACTAAACTGGACCAGCCTGGTGGTCAGTCTTCATTAATTGCACATTGCACCAGTAAGAGAGTGTGAACGTTCAATTAGCAGGGTAAGAGCACAGTTTGGCTCAAAATATTGCAATGCACACAACATTATGGTGACATACCAGAGTTCACCAGACAACAAATTGTTGGTGCACATCTTGCTGGAGCATCTGTGACCAAGACAGCAAGTCTTTGTGATGTATCAAGAGCCACAGTATCCAGGGTAA